CTTGTAAATGTCTCAAATATATCTCACTAGCCGTCATTATCTTTTCTTTTTTTCCTTAATTTTTTTTTTCTAGGATGTTTAGTTCATTGGTTTAGATTTTGCTCACTGCTGTTGGATGATCGAATGCAATAATAAATGTTCCCAGCTTTCAGGCCAAGCTCCGTAAAAACTACATGCAACTGAATAAAGCTTTAAGGGGTCTTTGTTTTGCGGGAAGACTGAGTGAAGCTGTGGGTCTATTATGGCGTACGAGATTGAAAGCAGATGCTGGAACGTATGCTCTTCTCTTGCAAGAATGCATATTCAGGAAAGAATATAAAAATGGGAGAAGAATCCATGCACAAATGGTTGTTGTTGGATATGTACCCAATGAATATCTGAAGATAAAGTTGTTAATATTGTATGCAAAATTAGGAGATTTAGAAACTGCCCATGCTTTGTTTGATATGTTACTAGAGAAAAATGTGATTTCTTGGAATGCAATGATTGCTGGGTTTGTGCAAAAGGGTTGTGGAGAATTTGGACTTGATCTCTATTATAAGATGAGAAAGAATGGTTTAACACCAGACCAGTACACCTTTGCCTCTGTTTTTAGAGCCTGTGCCTCCTTGGCCACACTAAGGCATGGGAAGCGAGCTCATGGGATCTTGATAAAGAGCCCTATCATGGAAAATGTTGTGGTCAGCAGTGCCCTCATGGATATGTATTTCAAATGCAGCAGTCTTACTGATGGTCACCAGGTATTTGATGAACTAGCATATAGAAATGTTGTTACTTGGACGAGTTTGATATCTGGATATGGCCAGCATGGAAGGGTTATTGAGGTTTTGGAATCATTTGATAAAATGAAAAATGAAGGTTTTAGACCAAACTATGTTACCTTTCTTGCTGTCCTTTCTGCATGTAGCCATGGAGGCTTACTGGATAAAGGTTGGCACTATTTCTTATCAATGACAAGAGACTATGGAATGCAACCGAGAGGGCAGCATTATGCTGCCATGGTTGATCTTATAGGCCGTTCTGGAAAGTTGCGTGAAGCTTACGAGTTTATTCTTAACTCACCTTGTAAGGAGCACCCAGCCATATGGGGTGCTTTGCTAGGGGCCTGTAGGATTCATGGAGATATAGATCTGATAAAGCTTGCAGCAGATAAGTACTTTGAATTGGACCCTGAAAATGCAGGTAAATATGTAGTTTTGTCTAATGCTTATGCCACTTTTGGTTTTTGGGACGATGTGGCCTCACTTAGGAGGATGATGAGGAATTCTGGGGTCATAAAGGAGCCTGCCTATAGCAGGATTGATATTCAAGGGGAGGTTCACTTCTTTTTAAGGGGTGATATATCTCATAAACATTCTGCGGAGATCTACGAGTTGATCAAATTAATGACTTCCATCTTAAAGGATGCAGGCTATGTTCCTGATGTAAATGGCTCCTAAAATCCTATGTACCACTCTTTATTGTGGTGTTGTGTCAAGAAGCAGGGCTGGTTGAGGGTTCTAAAAGTTCTTCATGATTTAATCTTAGACTCTTAGCCTGTGTTGAGAAATGTACTGAATTTGGGGACCCTGTTAATAGGTAAGGCACATTAAATATGCTGTTGTATTTTATGTGCTGAAAGTTACCTGCTGTCTGAATATCCCCATTGACTTGTTCTTGGGAATGTGATTGGGAAGGCTCTTAAATCTTCGGCAAACTAATCTGAAAGCAACATGGCCTGTTGTTTGAACTTATAGCTAAGTATTAGGTGACAGTCAGTAGTACTATCAATGGCACAATTCGAAAATTCAATTGCTTGATTGATGCACTGATCCCACTTGGTTTTCTTGTTTAATTCTTCTATGTTGTTAAATTTAGGTCATGATTTGGTTCTTATTTAGTGTCATGTTATTGTTGGTAAGACTATTACCTTTGGCCAAAATCGTAAACATAAGATTACTTATTTTAAATTGGTATGCTTTCCTAGATGTTTTTAAGATATCAGTTTGATATTTAAATGTTAGTATACAATGAGATTTATTTTCCAGGTACATCTATCCTATATTATGTGCTGGACATTTTAGTTAACTGATAGGGCTACAAATGTTTAGAGTGAAAAAGTTTTGACTGATTTTAAGATATTACTTTCTTTCTATTTGCTTTGCAGAACTGTGGCTGTGATAAAATCAAACAAAGATACAAGATATGGATTGGATTCAATTGTGACACATGACGGCATGAAACTGCCATGTTGGGCATTGGCAAATTTATCATCATTCCGACAAAAAATTGGTCCTGACGCATACAATCAGGTTTGTCATTTGCCAGCATCAAAATTTGATGCTTTTTGTCATGCATAATGACAACTTGTTGCATGAACATAAATTTGTTTGTCTGATTGGTATGAAATAGTGAGGAGTTACAATATTGTAAAGATGCCTTTTACTAAGTTATGGTTTCTGTTAAAAAAAAAAGGCAGAACATGTCCTTAAGACTGTTGCTGCCAATACTGTATCTTCATTTGAATGTGTATATATGGCTTTTCGTTGTAATATTCTTGAGCTTCACTAGTCTTATGGGGACTTAATGTCAAATATACTCATGACGTAGTGCATGTAACAGCTTGATGTCATTGGCATTGATGAAGCTCAATTCTTTGAAGACCTTTATGACTTCTGCTGTGAAGCTGCTGATCGTGATGGCAAAACTGTGATAGTTGCTGGGCTGGATGGTGACTATTTGAGGTATTATTTGATCAACTTCCATTTTTGAGATGCATGCTCCTTACTGGATTTATATATATTGCTACTGCCGCCTTATGGTTTAATCCACATCATGCTGGCAGGAGGAGCTTCGGATCTGTGCTTGATATCATTCCCCTTGCTGATTCTGTCATGAAGTTAACTGCTCGATGTGAACTTTGTGGGAAACGTGCTTTTTTTACCTTAAGGAAGACGGAAGAGACACAAACAGAACTGATTGGAGGAGCTGATGTCTACATGCCTGTATGTCGGCAGCACTATGTCAATGGGCAAGTGGTCATCGAAGCCACAAGAAGTGTTTTGGAATCTCAAAAGCTCCAATGTGGCTCTTACACATAGTTCACATGATCTTGTTCATTAAGATATTTGGTCTTCCTGAAGTATTATGGTCTGCGTGGTCCTTACAACATATCGATTTGGTGCCTGGTTGGTGACAATCTTATACCTCTGGTATGGGATGTAAGTTTAATTGGATTGACAGGGAATTCATACGTGCATTCTTATTTAAATACACCAATGTAGCTTGGTGACATTTTGTCTCTACGTAATGAAAATGCTGTAAGACTTGCCCATCATGGTCTGTCATTCCTGGAAGGAGCAAGTTACACCATTTTACTCTTCCTGAGAGTACCAAAGTCCACCTGACAGTTTTGCAATAACATTCAAAGCAAAGAGAGGAACTTCCTCCATGCCAGAGAGTCATCAGACACTCATATTTTGCCAACTGATATGCACGTGAATGAATATTGTTGTGAAATTATCAGAATGAACTCGATAGGTACTTACAAATCAAACAAGTCAGATTATAATTTCCATCAAGAACAAATACGAACAAAACAAAGTTGAAGTGAGGCCCTAAGCTGTTCATAAAATGAATGTTAACGCCGATGAAAAGAAAAAGAGAAAGATAAGCCCCTGAGACAGCAGTACAGCAAAGTCTGGATTTAGCTTAGAATCGTCAGAAAGCCTCCTGGTAGTTTTCATCCTGGTCAAGTCCATGAAAGAATGAATCTGCGAGGAGCTGGGTTGCAGATGGTCTCTCCGATTGCTTCACAAGACACTTTTTGATAATAGCTTTGACCTCCGGATCCTTCACCTTGTCGATCGCCTCTGGCATCACCCCTGAACTCACTTTCTTGTAAATTTTTGCAATGCTGTCGCACTCACTGTAGGGCAACTCCAGAGTAATCAACTCCAGTAAACACATCCCAAACGAGTATATATCCACAGCCTCCGTGTAATTCTCCTCGTACAGTTCCGGAGCCATGAACTCTGGCGTCCCGATCAACGACTGAGCAACGTGGTTCTTCCCAACTACAGTTGCGAATCCGAAATCACCAATCTTGATTTCTCCAGCATTACCGTTGATGAACACGTTGCTGCAGTTGAGATCTCTATGGATTATGCAGGGCTCATGCATATGGAGATACTCCAAGCCTTTGAGAATTTGTCTTGACCACATCTTTACCGCATTGATTGTTACATAACGGCGGTGCTTTTTCCTGTAGTCTCTCAAGTTCCCAGACGTGCAGACTTCAGTGATGAAGTTCAATCTGTTGTGTTCGTAGTCCGTCCAATGGCTAAACAAGGAAATAACGTTCTTGTTGTCGAGCTTTGCTAGCAAACCTACTTCAGCATATAACTTTTTAATAATGTAGTCACTGTCCATAAATTTGGTTAAAGAAATCTGATTCCAAGCAACCTCTCTGCCTTCTTCTTGATCGAATGCGCGGTAAACTTGCTTGGTTGCACCTGCACCAAGCAAGTCAGGATACCTTCCAAACCTGCCCATTGGATCAACCTCTACGAATGGCTCAACATCCTCGTCGGAAGAACCATAACTATTTAGGTCTGACATGTTGGATTCCTGAAAACCTTAAAAAGCTCAGAACAGGACTAGAAAGCACCCAAGAACCCCAGAATTGAACAAAAACAATAGCTAAGATAGAAGATCAATGAGGATAGGAACAACCGGGATTAAGAAGACCATGTATTTATATGCAGAGGAGTCATAGGTATATCATGATCTGATTTGGAATCCTAATTGCCTCAGGATTTGCAATATTAGGTAATTGGATTTGATTAGAAAAGTAAAATATAACTTTTTCTTCACCAAAAAGTTTAAAAGTTAAAAAGCCAAAAGAGTGTTAATAACTCTTAATATTTTTTTTTTGAAATATGTTAATAACTCTTAATATAATTGTTAGTTTTTCTACCATGGATTCTAGAATTATGGTATTCCACTCCGAGCAAGATAAGCTGTGCTTAGATATCATAAAATCAGTGTCAAACCATAGCAAATCATGGCTATGGCTAAGAATTCTCTTTAGCTCAATTCAGCAACAAAGACAACAGAAACAAGATTATATACTCCATTTTTTCGTTGATAAAAGTGCACACCAATTTACAAAAGTGTATACCATTCTCCATATCCAGAGGACTGAGAGCAGATGGGTTAACTATATTTACAGAATTTTCGTACAACAATTTAGAAAAGAACCCTTTCTTGCAAGATCAACATCAGATTTACAGGCCTCTGTTGTCTAACCCAAACTATAGGCTTGATTGTGTGCTCTGTACAATTTGAGGAAGCCCCGTTTATGCTGAAAGGAAACATTGCCAGCATCCAATTTGAGCACTCAGCCCGGATGCTGCAACTGAGACACTGAGAATCCTAAGCAATAGCTGAAAATAAAGAAATTGTTCCCATAACTTTAAACTGTAAAAACATTTTGGTATTAAGATCAAGAAAAAGCAAGCAAAGTTTTCTGAAGTGGAAAGCATTAATTTTTACAAGGGCCTCAGAATTGCAGAATGACAGCAAGGCTTAAGAAGCCATTCAGTCCCGAAAGATGGTGTAATTTGTGATTGGTATCCTCATAGGCCACAATTTTCAGAACACCCCAACAAGCTAAAACATGAAAATTAACATTCAAAAAGAAGACAAAAAACAATGTAAGTCTCATGGCCAATCCCAAAGAGGTAAATGCAGCAACGCCGCTCCACAAGGCAATGGAATATGAGACTGCCGTCAACGGAGGAGCTCCCCGGAAGGAGGACCATCAACGTCGCCGTACAATATTATGTGACGTTCACTTTGGAATATACAAACATAATTCTTTCGATTTGCCCCAAACACAGTGAGGGATTTCGATCCCCCGTCACACTCACACTGGCATCAGTAAATAACAAAGGAAAATTTTGTAAACATCTGAATGTACGTCTCATGGCCAGTCCCAGATGGTAAAGGCAGCGACGCTGCTCCATAAGGCGATGGAATATGAGACAGCTCATCGACGGAGGAGCTCCCCGGAGGGAGGACCGTCAACATCGACGAGAGTTTATATGTGACGTTATCTTGGGGATGTACAAACAAGATTCCGGTTTGCCCCGCTTCATAGATAAGGATTTCACATCCCCGTCACGGTAGATCAAAACAAAAACAAAGAAAGCGGGAAAGATTAGATTTAGAAAAGCTTATCGGACATGGATCGACATGAAACCAAACCAAAGCTCATGTTTTTCAAACACAGACAGACATAAACTCTACGCATCTAAGTAAAAGTGTTCATATGACTCTCAGAATTTACTCGTACGGCGGCCATGGCGCTGTTCTGGTGTGTATTTATAGGGTGCCTAATGTCGATGGGTGCCGTTCGATTTGCATCTGACGGCTATGAATGTTTGGTGGTCGCCGCTCGAGTTTGATGCTAGGGTTTGCCTTTGCACTGAAATGTATTGGACCATGGAGGCCCAAATCTCACATGGCCCAACTGAGAGCCCAATAGTTGTTTGTTCTGCAAACTCTTCCTATGATGGATTAAGTAGGAGTTATACTAATTCTTTGGCATATAAACTTCTTTACTTAAGTATGAATTGGAAATAAGGTTTAAATAACAAAAATTTCCTGAATTACATTAATTTATGCAACTGAATCTCTATACTTTTATTATACTGAAAGAGCTCTTATCTCTTAATTTATATCTAAAAAACAACTTTTGTTCTATTATTTTATTATATTAATATAAAATCTTAATTCGTAATGAAAAATTAATGATTTTCGAATTTACTATCAATTGATATTTTTTATTTATACAAAATTTTAATTTGTAATGAAAAATTAATGATTTTTGGATTTAATATTTATTTATATAATATTTGATATGATTTAATAATATGATTTTGTAACAAAATTCTTTTTCTTTTTTGTAGCAAGTCCTGTGAATAAATAGTAAAATAAAGACCTTAGCATTTAAATAATGACACTGCTTTCATTGAGAGTCGAACTCAAGACCTCCCGCTTACTAAACGGGTGCTCTAACCAACTGAGCTATGAAAGCCTGATGGCCGAGGGTCAGAGGGATAGCATCCTATGCAAAAGAAAGTAAAGCTAGTATTTAGTTGATCAATGAAACGATAAATGAAGATACTGACCGGAACAATACGAAACCCATTATCCAATATGTATTTATATATTTATATATACAAAAAAAAAAACACCAAGTTTATGGAACCTGGTTGACAAAGAAATGAAACTTTTCTCTCCTTAATTACCAACTAGATAATCAAATCGTGCTAACACTAATTAAACAGATATAAGTAAATAATACACGGTCTCATGAAGCATAAATAACAACAGATGATGCTCCTGTCCCAGCCGAAATCACTTTCAGTTAATTGGGACATCAACGTTGATCAAACTGTGGACGTTCCTCCCGTATCCATGTTGGAGAGCATCGAGATGTTCTTGAAGTTTGGTCATCAGTTCTTGATAAAATGAATTACCAGCACGCTGAAAGGCAAGAGAATGAGAGGCATCAGAAAGATCCTGTAAATTAATAATTACATCTTCAAGCTTCAAATTTGACAGATTTATTAGGTTTAAGGACAATAGATGCATGAACCAAAAAGCCATCATCTCCCTCTGATTACTGTCATTAATGCCGCTTATGTAATCTTAGATACAGATTCAACCAAAAGATGGAAAAGGAAAAAGTTTAGTTTCAGTATGCATGGCCAATGCTGCTCATCAGGAGCACTTCCGGAGATCTGTGTTTGATGCATCAATTGCTAGCTTACCATATTAACGCAATGGGTACTCTCAAGCCTATTCTATTAGCTTGTCATATTGCAGTTTCAAAAGGGTACATACCTTCGAGGCTTTCAATGCTGTTTGCACCACGTAGTTGCCATACTGATCCTTGGCAACTTGCAAAAGCTGTTTGCTCTCGACGAGCTCTTTGACCACGTGATGCATCCCTCTAGAGTTCAACATCTTTTCTACTACATGACTTCCGGCTTTCTGCATGGATAGTTTCACAATGTGGCCATTCAGTTGAGCACAAATCTCTCGGATGATGTCAGGGTTATCAAGCTCCACGACCTTCTGCAGAACATAGTTCCTGAAATAGTTCCACAAAACTGATCAAGTTTTTGCATTTTAAACCATGATGTTTCTTTCGGGAAGAACAATGAGAGAAGTGATGTTTTACCCTGAAGGATCCTGAGAGAGGTACAGGGAATTCTTAGCGATTACATGTAAGAGGGCAATTCTGTGTAGACCTCTGATGTTGTCTATGAAGTAGTTTAAAGATATACATCCCCGTGCATTTACAGCTAGATTGAGACAGTGTTCTATGGCTGCAACATACAGTAACTGCCACCAAAAAAGGGTAAGTGAAAAAAACAATTGAATGTAAAGATTCAAAGCATCTGTGCAGAATAAAATAGCAGAAGCAAGAAGGTTCATTGGTGTAACAAGAAGCACAATTACCTCATTACTCCTAGTATCAATGAGTTCTACGCATTTCAATATAACACTTGACCCAGTTTGGCTGATCATTAGCTCATAGAATCCTTCTTTCAGAGCTGCTATCACTTTAATAATCAGAGATGATTTCTTGAGCAATTCGATAAGCTTCTTAATCGAACGTGAACTGACAGGAAGCAATGCCGTTGATTAAGAAAATTAATGAGTATGAAGAAAAGAACAAATGATAAATAACGGAAAGGTTGAGGTTGAGGATAGTTACCCGGTTCTAGTTTTTGATACAGAAATAATACCTCCAAGCGGGGAGTGAGAGGTTATCCTTTCTATGATCATACCCAACTGGTCGTCACTGCTTAATTTAATTAGCTCTGCAAAGAGACTATGTCCATGTTGGCTCATCATCAGCTCGAACATGAAGTCAATGACCCCTTCAAAGATCTTATTGGTAATCCTCGGTTCCCTCCAAGATAGCAGATCCTTGAGAATGTCTGAGCCATCCTGAGTCAAGGCATTCTCAATAATGATTGTGTTCATCTGTGGCAAGTGAGCATGATCTAGGCTTTGTTGAAACCCAAAACCACCGGCATTCCCAGCAGGTCTGCCATTGTCAAAACCATAGCTCACATTACTTCCACCCTCTGCTATAGGCTCATGTTGAAAACTAGTTGGAGAAGTTTGACGAGCAAGACCAGAGAACAAGTTGAAATCATTGTTACATAAGGAATCTCTCCCTATTGATGCCCGATCCGTGGTCATGGTCTCCCCTGCCCGGTTTCCTACAAAATTAAACCATCGATTATCATCCTCTATAATCATGTAAGAACTTCCATGGCAAAAACAACCATGAATATGCCCATGCAAAATCAAAAGGATCTGGAAAACTCACCGTTAGAAGTAGAACTATAGCCATTAAGCATAGCTCTTGCAAAAGATTGATTGGAAGGCAAACGAAGAGCATTGTCGCCCGGATAAACACAAGCGCTATCGTTCTCAACCCCTGAATTCAAGCGAAGATTTTCAAGAGAAGGGAAGAGATTATTGTCGGGTGAATTTGAACGCAAAGAAGCCTTCAAGTTCTGGCTATCAGAAGAAGAGGAAACAGTGTTTTCCATGGTGAATCCACGAAGGAAACAAAGAACTTGAAGTAATCAAGATTCAAGAACGTTTGGCTATTACGGGCTATACATATATTATATATATATAAATTTTAGTATTAGTGTTTCACTCTGTGTAGGAATTCTGGTTTAGAAGTAAACAGCAGTTTATTTTAGAAGGTGAATTCTTGTAGGAATAGGAATATGGTAACTTACTAGCAAGAAACCAAGAAAAACGAAGACCTAATTCCATAGTCGAAGTTCGATTCTTGAAACCCAAGTTTTTTATAGAATCAATGTTTCCTGAACCAGAGCGGAGATATGTCGCAGAGGTGGAGGGAGAACTCAAAGAGCAAAAGTCGGTTCATGAGTTTCTGCAAGTTCAGTTCCATGCCCGGCGGTGAATGTCTTCTTCCCCTCGTTTGTTACTGTGTCGATGGTGCTCAAGACGCCATTAATCTTCTCATACAAAGCTCAATTTTTTGGAATTTTAAATTTAATGTTCCTTCTTTTGATTTTGATGGTCATTTATTGTCTTTATTCTTTTAAAATACAAAAGAAAATAAACTTGGTCTATGTACAACCAGAGCCTGATCCAAGTGATGGAAACAAGAGAGGTGATAGTACCGTTACCAATAAATAAAAAGTCAGGTACAAATTTCGGAGGGGAGGGGGATTGGAAAACAGTTAAAAGATGAAGAAAAAATATACAAATTCTAGATTGTTGCTCAAGAAATAGGATTTGCACAGAGAGAGCAAAACATATTATATATATATATATATATATATATATATATATTGTTTTCACCCCTCTCTTGAAATGTCAAAATCTAGTCCTATCAGATGGCTCTTCTCATCGTCACGCAATTCTAATTCTGAATATCCCTGACCCTCTTTTCCAGCGAGTTTTCGACATCTGTGATGCTCCTCTCTGCTATTGCAATCATCCTTTTTCTCCACCCTGCAATCTCGCAGGATAACGAGGTTTAGTTCAAATCCTGTATAGTAAAGGTATCACGCATTGTTAGGAAAAATTTGTTCTCTGAATTATAACTAAAGAGACAATAAGCATGAGACCCGAAAAGGGAAATTAAATGATAGCCATGATTGCCAACAACTTTAAGTTCATACAAAAGTTCAATCTATTTCAGACGCATTACATAAAAAAACTACAGATAGAAAGTTTTGATGTCACCACTTGGATATGCAATGCAACAACAAAACAATATCAACCATATGCAAGAGACTCTGAAAGAATTAACTCAGTGTAATAAACTTACAAATCTTCATTTGAAAGAATCTGGGGAGGAGCCAAACAAATTTCACCTTTGTATATGATTGATTTAAAAATGGCTGTCAAGTCTTCAGTAGTACAACAGAGATGTTCACCCTAAACATAATACCAAAAACTTGTGATTATCATGTAATTCTTCTTGTTGAACCTACTAAATAGCATCATAAAAACAACTAATATTAGTTTATCAGATATGCCACCAAAAATTATAGTTTGTGAAAATCATCATCTTCAACTCTAATATTGTTAAGCTGTTTAAACTTTCACACATTACGACTTATTGAATGAGTTTCTCCCTACAGCAGACACTTTTCCACTACATTTAAGATTGCAGAATGAAGTTCAAAATCATGGACAGCATAAACTTTTAGCACAGTTAAATTAAAGATTGCCTATCTTACCTTCTGTTATGCTTTCATGGCTTTGGTTAACAGTCTCTTGGGCAGCAGGATTTAGTGCCCGAGCAAGACGTTTAACACGATTTAGTCGCAATCCTCTTGATACTAAACCTGAACAACGATCTTTGATATATAAATTTCTAATTTGAAATGGGGCAGTTGGTTTATAAATGGTTCCGGAGGTACATTATCAAATAATTAACATTTATCTCTATCCATTATAACGGTAAGATGACTTATTAAACTTACAATCAGAAGCTCCATTTTCCTTCATCATTCCACCCACTGCAACCCCATCACCAACAGGATCATTCATTGCTCGTGCCAGATGTTTTATGCGATTCAAACGTACCTTTCCAGGCAAAATAGCTAACTTGTGAGCCGGGATTTCCAAACCTGTTAAAAAGGAACAGGTAAGAACATAAGACAGTTTATCCTTCAAGACATCATAAAGATTAATATTTAATTGTAAAGTGATGGGAACTGACTCTGGCTGCTTCTTGTGTCCAGCATTGGTCTTTCTTGTCCATGGTTGGATCCGATAAGCTCCGCAGCAGCAGCATCATCAAAGTGAGGACTAACATCTGAAACACAAGTTGCGGCATTGTTCAAGGGCAATTGAACCGAAGAAATGCTCGTTTGTTGAAGTTGAATCGGAGGTGCAGGGTTCAATCGAGCAGTTTCAGCTCTCTGTCTCCGCAGCTGATAGTTTCTCCGGCGTCTTGCCAGATGCTTTTCTCTCTCCTCAAGGCTCATAGACTGCCTTCTCTGACGGTCCCTTATACGACGACGTTCTCTCTCTAGCTCCTTTCGCAACTCTGATCCGCTTTCTAACCCTTCCATCATCATTCCCCAACATCCAACAGAACCACAATCTTTACACTAATTCAGAAACCAATCGATTTTTTCTGCAAAAAAAAAAAATCGAAAATTTGACTTAATTCCTGTGATGGGAATACTATGAATTATTCCAAAATCGTAAATTTAATAACTGGAGATAGAATTAAGTGAAAGAAAATTACATTTGAGAGAGCAACCCGAAATGATTAAGAAGCCATTAAATCATGGTTTTTATTCCATCAAAAAGGTGGGGAATTTCTGATCTCAGGAATGCAATTGCCCTTCAAATTCAACTGATCAAATTTTGTTTAAAGAAAAAAGCAGAATAATTACACCAATTGCAAAAGGAAAAATCTAACCTTGATGGCGGACTTGATCGTAAGAAGAAGAGCAATCTAGAAAACAAACAAAGATCATGGACAAAAGGCAAAGGTAAGAATGGAAATTGGAAAAACAAAAAGGAAAAGGTTAGGCTTTTGCGGCAATTTACCAAATGAAATCGGATTTTCTTATATTATTTTTGGGATTTTGAGCTAATTACTCCTGTTCCTCTCTAATTAGGCAGTGTTACCCGTGTTTACCTTTTTGGGTTGTTTTGGGTTTGGATCCGAAATCATGATACGCAGAAAGGGTATGCGTTTTATATTTTCTTTCTCGTGTTTGTTTTTGTCTTTTTCTTTCTCTAACTGCCCAAACAAAACCCTAAACCCCAGGGGGAAAAAAAATTCCAGTCCAGAGCTAAACTCGACGATGGAGGCTGCACAGAACAGCGAGGAAAACACTTCCAATCCCCAGCCTCAGCCTCTATCGAAGAGCGCCCAAAAGAAGCTCTTGAAGCAGCAGAAATTCGAGGCGAAGAAAGCAGAGAAGAAAGCATGGATGAAAGAGCAAAAACAGCGGGATGCAGAGAGGAAGCGAAAAGAATGGGAGGAGAAACTGGCTGGCCTAAGCGAAGACGAGAGGCTGAAACTGATAGATTCAAGGAAAGAATTGAGGAGAGAGAGAATGGAGAAAAGATCGGAGGAAAGAGGGCAGAAAATCGAGAGACTGACGAAAGCCAAAGAGAATGGCCAAAACATTGTCGTTGATCTTGAGTTCTCTAATCTCATGACTCACTCTGAAATCCACAGCCTCGTTCAACAGGTTGTTCTTTTTCCAGTAATTGATTGATTACTGTTTCAAAGTTTGCATCTTTGCCTTGCTCTTAATTGCACTTCTCTTCTTAGCCCATGATAAAAGATGTTCTTTTGTTCAATCCTTGTTGTCTCATTATATTGCATCAATACCAGTATATCTTATGTTGTTGCTGAACCCTGCAGATTATGTATTGCTATGCAGTGAATGGAAGAAGCAGTGTTCCTGCTCACCTCTGGTTGACTGGATGTCAAGGGGAAATGGAAACTCAGTTGCAAAGGCTACCTGGATTTGATAAATGGATTATTGAGAAGGAAAAGCAATCTTATATCCAAGCGTTTTCAGATCAGAAAGATAACTTGGTTTATCTCACAGCAGATTCGGAAACTGTGCTAGATGAACTTGATCCTAGCAAAGTTTATATTGTTGGCGGATTGGTGGACAGAAATCGGTGGAAAGGCATAACCATGAAGAAAGCAGAGGAGCAGGCAATTCATACAGCAAAACTCCCCATTGGAACTTACATGAAGATGTCCAGTTCTCAGGTATGGTTGGTCATAGAACACTACACCTCTTTCCTTTCTTCCGTCAGTTGATTATTGGGGTCGAAACAGAGCTCTGCCAATCGAAGTAGGTCTTTAAGTTTTTTACTGTTGGTTTTCTGTGGAATTTCCTATGCAATAATACATTAGAAACCTTGGGTTGAAAGGCATTTATGGTATCACTTTAGCAGTTGTAATCAAAAGGAATCAGTTAGCCTATCTACTCAAGTCTCTTGGGGTTATATCCTGGAAACTATCTATTTTGGAGAATGAATAGCTTTATAATTGCATGCTACTGCTTTCTTTCAAAGAATGCTGTGATGTGTGTTGAATATGATTTGTGATGCACAGTAGTTTGGTTTTCAAACAAACAAACAAAGAAGCAAATGTTCCCTGGTTTTATAAGCTTGTCTTCCCTGACTGGCATTTCGTTCATACGTGTGCAGGTCCTTACTGTGAACCAAGTTATAGAGATACTCCTCAAGTTCTTGGAGACAAAAGATTGGAAAGCTTCCTTCTTTCAAGTAATTCCTCAGAGGAAAAGATCTGAAGCTGATTCAGAAACCTGTCAAGAATTAGATGGAGAAGAGTGCAAGGAGGATAATGATGAATCTGAGAGGAAAAAGAAGTGCATTGAAGAACCTTCTCATGACTAGAAGAGCTCGCAAAACTAATGCTTATGTTGACCCTTTCCATCTTGCACTACATGGAATGTCTGTACAAGTGGGAAAATCATTACAAAAGAATTGATTGTTTTTTGAAGTTCCACTCTTTACCTCCTCCATGTACCTATGATGCTTCATGCATTCCAAACTTGAATTAAAACTACAGAAAAATAGGCTTCCTTGCGGATGCCCACTTTTGATCAAAGTTGCATATGCTAAGACCTCTCTGTCTCTCGTGAATGAAACCGGAAATCGTTACAGCAATCACGTTGCATTTTAAGGCAATAACTTGCTAGTGTAAGTTTTAATGTCGATCCACCTGGGATATAAAAAAGTCGAGTGAACTCGTACATTTTTTTACGAAATCCAAAACTGAAATTCAATTTGAAAGAGTGATTTAAGTCACTTGAATCTAGTGCAACTGTAGTCGAAACTAAAGCTAAATTTGGGCTTGCATTTGCAATACCCATTCTATGCATATTAACATCAATCATATTCATGTTACTATGTCTCTATTAAGATAAGCCTTCCTCCTAAAACACTCATAATCAATCAACTTTGAAAAGTGACCTGACTAGAAGGAAAGGATAAAAAAAATTGGGAGTTTTGTGTCGGTGGCTTCCATAGCATAGTGGTAGTGCGTTCGCTTCGTAAGCGAAAGGTCGCGAGTTCGATCCTCGCTGGGAGCTTTCATAAATAGAAATTTTTTATGAATTTTTTTTATCAAGAAAAAAAAAAAAAGAAAAGAGATTCCCCAGTTACTATATCTCCTAATGCTCAATTCTTCTTTTAAAATTTTTCTCCTCTTAACATGGTTATCTCTGATTTAAATGGAAAGTATAGCAGCAATGCTTTCTTGAGTGGATTGAAATTTTGGTTGATAAGTTGCGGGATGACTTTGTCTTTCTTCCATTTTGGAAGGATTCGAGGAAAATTACAAGGCGGGATTGGATTTTGATGACTCACGGCTGATGTTAGTGATGTTTTAAGGTGAGGTAAAGGTCAACTCCCTTGCAGTTGAAAAG